GCCCTTGGTGGAGTTTGCCTACAACAACAGTTTTCAGTCGAGTATCGGTATGGCACCGTTTGAAGCCTTGTATGGCCAACCGTGTAGGTCTCCAGTGTGTTGGGCCGAGGTGGGTGATGCACCTTTGTTGGGCCCGGAGTTGGTTCGGGAGACGACGGAGAAAGTTGAGCTTATCTGTAGGAGGCTTGTTACCGCCTAGAGTCGCCAAAAGAGTTATGCCGACCGTAGGAGGAGGCCTATGGCATTTGAGACGGGTGATCATGTTTTTCTAAAAATATCACCTAGGCGAGGTTTGATGAGGTTTGGGAAGAGTGAGAAGTTGTCCCCTCGGTTTATTGGTCCCTTTGAGATCCTTGAGAGGATTGGGGAGATTGCTTACCGTTTAGCTTTACCTCCGCAGTTGTCCGGGGTACATGATGTGTTTCATGCTAGTATGCTTCGGAAGTACGAGCCGGATCCGTCACATGTATTGGATTGGATCGACTTGGAGGTTGACGAGGATGTCTCGTATGAGGAGAGACCGGTTCGGGTCTTGGATAGGCGGGATCAAGTCTTGCGAGGCAAGACCATTCCCTTGGTAAAGGTTTTGTGGAAACATCACGGTGTGGAAGAAGCCACTTGGGAACGCGAGTTAGATGTCCGTGAAAAGTATCCAGACTTGTTTGTTAATGTTTAACCATGTAATGGGAATTTTGTAATATTGATAAACTTTAAGAGCATGGAATATGTCTTAAGTTGTAAAACATTTTAAATGTTTTGGTTTATGGAAATATATTTTGGAACTTGCCTTAAAATGGAAGTTGATTTTAACATTGTATATGTTAATGATGTTTTAGAAATGCAAATGTATTGTTGGCATTGAATATGTTTTGAGATGCATATTGATAATGCATGTTGGAGATTATGTGGAAATTTACTCTTGAATAGAGATGGGATGACCGGTAATGGGTCAGGATATGAGATGTTAAATTGTAATATTGTTGATAATTGAAAAATCACAATTTTAAAACTTATGTTGCTCATTTCAGGGACGAAATTCTTTAAGGGGGAAAGGTTATAGCGACCCCGGTTCTTCTTCCTTTGGTTGTTGTATCCGGACTTAGGTTCCGTGGAGTTGGTTGCTGTATATGTCTTGTTGTCATCCTTTAATTCTATTTATTTGAGTTTAGGATGTGTTGGGTGTGTTTCGAACAGGTTGGTTGAGCTTTAGTCCCATTCCTTGTTGCCCAGATTTTTAGTGTTCCACTCGAGCGGGTCCTTTTCCGCTCGAGCAGAGTTTGCATACTTTCAGTATCTTGTGCGTCTGCAAAACTTCTGCAGATGTGTTTTTTACGCTAGAGCGTATTTCTGTAAGATCGAGCGGGTCGCGCTCGAGCGGGCCTCTTGGCGCTCAAGCGGGTGTTCGATGTCTGTAAAAATACTGGAGGAGTGTAATCTATCGAGCGGGTGTATTTTGCAGTTGTGCCTTGGAGCTCGAGTGGGTATTCTTGTGCTCGAGCGGGTCCAGTTTTTGTGTTTGACGCTCGAGCGTCCTATTCTCCGCTCGAGCAGGTCAAACGTATATCAGTTGGAAGCTGGGTCATTTTAGATCACTTTCTACATACACACTCTCTCTCTTACTTTTCAAAAAACTATTTTGAGAGCTTCTCTCACTACATTTCACCTTCTCCCTAAGGTTTGATCTAATTTGAGTGATCTCCCACCTTTGTCCCTTTGTAAAAAGTGTGGAGCTTGTTGTGGGCTACCTATCAATCCGAAAATCTTGGGTTTTGGAACATTTCGAGATTTCTTCATCATCTCCATTGGGTTTCATCTCTTGAGGTAGGGATAACTACTCATTTTTATGAGCTTTAACCTAAATGTTGAGCTTTTTATATAAATGGTTTGATTTGGGAAGTTAGGGTTTGAGATGTGTTATATTGGAAAGAGGGGTTTTATTCTTTTGATTCAAACATTTGTGTTTTGGGTCTAAAAAGGAGGTTATTGATGTTGTTGGTAATATTTGGACCTTTGGGTCAATATTGAGAAATGGGGGAGAAAGCCCTAATTTGTTGTATAAATTAATTGGTATAATTAATTTGGAAAATTGTGGATATGTGAAATTGAGTTGGGAATAATGAAATTGGCTCATTATGAGATAGAATGGTGGAGTTGGAATTGTTTGTCACTCATCTGTGAAAATTATTGATAATTTATCTGTTGGATGTAATTATTATCTGTTTGGAAATAATTGCTTTGGGCTTTCGGTGGAGGATAGTTTTGATTGTTGTAGACACTGCATGATGATTAGGCAAACTAAAACTAATCAATTGAGTATGTCATCGAATATGACGGTTGGAATAATATATCGAATTTGTGTATTAATTGAACATGTATATGATAAATGTTTATATGCATTGTATTGTGTGAGAGGAGATAGGGGATGCACTCCACGGTTTAGGGGAAGATAGGGGATGGACTCTTAAATCGGATATTGTTTGGGAGGAGATAGAGGATGTATTCCATTGATATAGCAAATATTTGTATCTGTTGAAGTATTGATACAGCAAATACATGTATCTATTGTGAAGTATGGAAGTGTTTTATGTAATATTGATATAGCAAATATGTGTATCTATTGTGGTGTATGGAAGTACTGTTATTATGAGATGTAATCTCATTTAAATTGTTTGGCCAGGTTCTGAGCCATAGTTATGAATTGAGAAATTGGATAAGAAATGGAAAATGGAATGAAACATGGACACATTCGTCATGTAATTGAAATGAGTTATGAATTGATTTATGTGAGTTAAACATTTATCAAATGCTAATGTTTTAGTTATCGCTCATATTATATTTAGCATATCTCTACTGGACGTTGGCTCACCCTATATGGGACATTATTTTCAGGTTCAGATATTATGCCACCTCTAAGGACGTAGCTTGGAAGGCTTGAGGCTGTTGTTCTCTTTTTGCTGTTTTTGTTGTATTACATGTATATCAAGCCAAGGGCTTATTTTATGTAGAGTTAGTACTCTCTCTTTGTAACCAAGTGTTGACTTGGAAAGTTGTAAGCCCATAGGGCGTTTACTTTTGTTGTCAACATGTAATACTTTTGGACTAAATACTCTGATGAATAGAAATATGTTTATTTCTCTTATGTTTATGGATGTCGCGAATGCATGATTTATGGGTTTATTTTAAGGGCGTTACAACTAAAATCTAGAAAATAATTAACATGTCAAAAATGCATGATTTACAAGCATGAATTTCCAAGAAAACAGCAGACTTAATAGATATCAAATTGAATGTCTATAAGCATGCAAATTACAATAAAAAAAAATGTTTGCAACAGTGGTAAAAAAAAAAAAAATAGCATGCAAAAATGTTACTTTGTTTATTTATTCTTATTGTAATTCCAAGCATGCAATAGGAGACTAGATACATATATGTACACCAATTTCTACTCATGACTTTGTTTTGATGGCAGATGAAATATAGAAAATATAATACAGTGAGAAACAATAGCATGCAAATATATATGCTCTTATTATTTAGGAATCACAACAGTCAACAACATACTCCCAAGGACAATTTAGAACACATGTACAGTAGGCTTCTAGGAGTAATTTCGGTACTTAATCCATATGAATCTATTTCATGAAAAATATGTGGTCTATTTTAAGTTTGTTGTATAAATTGTGAGATCACATAGAAAAAATAAATTCATATTTTATATTTGCAATTATAGACTACAACATCATGCTAGAAATTACAAGTAGAAGAACAGAAATACATAAAATAAAATAGCAACAGAAGGCAAATCAAAGCCTGTATTAGACAGTGTCCTTAAAATAGATTTGTCGCCTCATCGGTTGGGTGCTGGAGCTTGTTCGATGTCTGTATCCTAGGATACGACAGTTGAACCAGCTACAACAACAGCACCAACTACGTAGCCTCGGTGAACAAGACTAAGGAAGCACTCTCTCACTAGGAAAAATATAAACTTTGAGGAAAAATTTTGAACACACAAAGATAAAAAAAATTTCTTGTTCTAGAAGAATGAAGGAGAGGGTCTCCTTTTATACATATGAAAGGAGAGAGGAAAAGGCTCTTGCAACAAATGCAAGGGATCTAATTTTGCAAAACTCCCAATTGATGGTTTTAATGCATCATCATTATAGAGGAGTTACAACCATTTTATACACATGTGTAATGTGTGTGATTCTGCAACCATCTTTTCCAACACCTCTTTCACGAGGCCAACTGAATGAGTCAATTTCTCATTCAAATCTTAATGGTTTTTGGTCATTGTTGTTGCGGTGTAAAGATTTCATTACAAAGAATCTAAACACACTTTAATCCACCTCAATTGAGGACTGGCACCCACTTTAATATTGCATTAAAGTCACCAAAAAATCATTATTTTTCCAACACAATTAATGAAAGGTCAGCTGCTATTTTGCCACACCAAATCCAAGCGACAATATGCATGGAGTGGCCAACATGGGTTCAATTCTGCTACCCTAGAAAAATTTGTTTAAAAAAAAAAGTAAAAGTTCTGTTAAATAAAGTTGATAGATAGGTATGCACAAACCAATCAACTTTACTTTGCTGCTCTCAAATATTTTTGTATTTCATTATAGATTTCTCATATTTTATATAACCTACATAGAGGAAAGTGGAAACCATAAAGAAAAAAATAAATAGCACAAGAGCCAAAGGAGATATGTTTTCTGCTAGCACACTCTAAATTGGTTGCAGGCTTGACACCCTTTTTTTCCCCAAAATCAACCAACATGAGTTTGTCATACTCCACCAAAAAAACTGATAGAAAAAGTTCTTTTGGATAACACTTTTTCAAGCAAATTAACTACAATAGCTTTAGTTTACCATTTCACTAATCATTCAAAACTAGTATATTTAAATCAAAATCAAAGGGTGATTTTTTACTACGAGCAATATCATTTGACCATTCCTAGCAATAGATATTTTTGATCCATATATACACTCCATCGTACCTGGACAGATGTCAGTATAGCAACTATATCATATATTGGACTCCACTGATTTTGTAGAATATCCAGACAAATACTTCCATCTGCATAAACTAGTCCAAGCACAAAACGATAGTATGAGCAACTAGCATAGGCATATATCTTACTGAAATTATGTTTCACCACGTAAGAGAGGAAATCAAATATCAAGGAGCAATCAAAAGACACAAAGAAAGGAGGATTCTATGCAATGCAAACTAATAAACCCCAAGAAGTAATAGAAACTTCTAAAGACGAGTTTAAAGCAATGTTGGTAATCCTAAGAGGAGTAAATAGTATTGAAGTTAATATTAGTGGCAGAGCATGACTTCTGAGGATGCAGTGGATGTGGCACAACTAAAGTAGCTGCAACATTTTTACAGTGAACCATTTAACTCCTATAAAGATGCAGATCCAAACCATACACATTAAACACATTCAAAATCACTACTGAAAGCAAAGGCCAAAATATTAACTGTTGATCGGCCTTAAATAAGAATCGTTATAAAAAAAACCAAGACGATTTAGTTCAAAGCCCAACTTACTATTTGGATGGAACATTCGTGAAATAAACCTCACTATTGGTGGCTTATTTGGATAATCCTTTGTAAATTGAAGCGTCAACTTAAATGAACTTGAAAACGTAAACTAACATATAAATTAACACACCTAAAAAAGCAAACTAGTGGCAAAAAAATAAACCAAAGAGAGAGTATTTTAGAAAAAAATTAAAGTTCCAAGTACCCAAAATAAACAAATGGCTAAACATAACAAACAACAATAGAAATGGCCAGAGAATCAGATTTAGCACTAAAATTGATAATTTAACCAATACATCTACTACAACAACAAGCTAATTCTCACTCAATACACTTTATATTACACAGAAATACATACTGATAAATAAATAAAATTATATATACTCAATTTTCGATGAAAAAGAAACTTGAATTCTTGAGGGGTGAAGTATTGGTTGACTAAAATAGAAACCAAATACGCCCTAGAATTTAGAAATTCAAGTGATCGAAGGAAAGAACAAACCAAGTTATTAGTGAAGGATTCCATCTATAAAACAAGGCTAAATGGTTATGCAAAGAGCAGGGTGAGAACCAAGTACATTAAAGACTACTATTTGATGCTTCAAACTTGCACCTGACAAGACCCCGATTGGCGCACTTCTCTGCCAGCACAAAGACTGATCATTTTTGTTTTATCCTCTTGAAGATAGATGTAAATATTAGTGCCAATCCGTGTGTGATGTCAACATTTTCGATGGGGCACACCCAATCATTTTATTGGTAAAGTTAACACAGTTTAGGTCTAGATAACGAGAGGAGGGGAATATGTATATTGTCAAGTAAAGTAAGGGAGGAGATCAGTGTAATTTCATAAACTAGAGGGAAGGTCCGTGTATTTCTCAGAAAGCTTAGTAAAGGTCCGTGCAATTAACCCAAAATCTAAGGATCACACCGAATATTCAAATTGCATCACACAATTCTATAATAAGCTTCAAAGCTCTAAAACAAATTCTATAACATGTTCTCCATTGAATTAGAAGCATTACATCCCTTTACATAGACTTCAAAGAAGCCCTTGTCCTTATAATATTTTTGAGTTCCTATTTGAAAATTAAGTTTTTTGACTTATAAAACCTATTCAAAACAAAATATGAGTCATGAATAAAAATAAAAAATAAAAAAGACTTGACCCACTTCACAACCCATCGACAATCCCTAAATCCCATGCCATGCCATGTTATACAGCACAGTGAGAATAAAGGAATAACTAAAATGAAATAACTACATGTCAATGAACCAGCTTGCAAAACAAACACCATAAACCAAAACAAAAGCCTTCCATGATGCTTTCGTAAAGACATTTAAAATTGTCTCAAATTCTACAGAAGAAACGAAAAATGCTTTCATTATTTTTTGAAGCAAACCTTACCAGATAAGACGGGTTGGATTCCATTGAGGATGAGAGAGAAGGCAAGAAGTGGACAAAGTTTTGATATTGCGCACAACAATTGCTGCGATCAACCAAAGTATGAAAGAGACTAAGTTCACCACTGCTCAGCATATATATATCAACACTAATATTTGTGCTACATGTAACTTCTAATTGCATTGTTGTTCACTATCCTCTCTCTCATTCAAATTAAATGCCCTTACTAAGATAATTGTTTAGATTAGATACAATTGTTGGATCAATGTTAAAAATATAAGAAATTATCATTTCCATAGCCCATTTCAAATATTTCACAACCCTCCTCTTTATAAAAGAGGAGCCCTACCATGTAAGAAACTACATGTGAAAGAGAATGAAATAATTGTGGAAAAAATAACTCCCAAATATATGGCGGATTTGATTTTCTACTATATATCTAGAAATATGATGAAAAAAAGAGAATTTATCAATAGTTTAATGAATGAATTGAACATGACTGAGCTTACTGCTACATTGAATCCAATTGAGATCATCATTATGCATCTCGCAATTAGCAGTCTGCAATTATAACCAAGTAAACAATCATGGAGGAGCATTTAGTTAAAAAGGTATTACATGCAAATTAGTGGAAAAGGGAAAAAAATATACACCAAAAGGGATCCAAAGATCCAGAATGCACTAAGAGGTAGTGCACCATGCCTAGACAATTCAAAAGAGGGTCCCTCAAAATCTTTTGCATTTGAACATGTAAAAGAACCAGCAGGGATGCCCAAACACACAAACATTAAACTAAAGTTTATTACAGCACCAGAATTCCAAAATAAATGGTTTCTCATAACCAAGTATCATATCATCTAATATGATCAAAACAAAGTGCATTCATTTAAGAAATAATTTAATATTGAGACTTCACAGACATTACCTTAACAAGGCAACTACTTATAATAGGTTCTAGTACAACCAACAGATGATCACCTAGACCAGTGATGTAAATTCTTCCAAAAGATGAAATGGAACCTGTCACGCCCTGAAATAATTCAACAGAAACTAACCACATCAACTAATATTTACTAAATAATGACAAAGATTCATCCATCTTTACATATTTAATGAAACGAGCTTATACAAAAGTTTCACATGCGGATATACATTCAATGATAAGAAAACACTTGAATCTATAACATGTGAAGCATCTAGTCTCAAATAATTAATATGCCCTCAAGGGCTTACATCTTCCAAGGTAATAGCCCGGTTTCACAAAATTGTCTCTTGGACCTATACATGTTTAGCCCTTGGCTTACAAAAAAATTCACAAGAAAATAAAAGAGCGATCTACTCCCTCAATTCGGCGGGATCTCCACATCTTTACTTGCACCAAAATTCCATAGGGGTGAGCATAAAGCCCAGTAGAGAAACCTTAACAAAGTATATACATTTATGCAAAGTATCCAATATTAAATGCAAATGCAAATGCCATGCGATGCCATTTCAAAATAATCACATGCCATGCTTTTCTTGAAAATCACCATGTTTTCAGTAACATTTTGCAATCTCATCAATTTCCAAACTTCCAATTTTAAATCATAAGGGGTGGTAAATACAACTTAGGTAATCCCTAGGTTGGTGTCTGCAAGTAGGCTCAACAAGCACTGCCAATAACCCACTTTACCGGTTGCTAACTAGAAAGGAAATGGTACCTCCTCTGTGCGTGTTTTCGGTCTTTCACCCCGGACACTCAGGCCAACTTATCAAACTCATCTACACCCCCTAACCGGACTTACCAATGTATTTACCCAAAATTTTTTTCAAAGTTTCAATCAAAATATTACATTCTTAATGGAAGTTCCAATTTTTCAAAACCAATTTTCATGATATGTAAGATGTTCGTAATGTCAATGCAATAATCAACTGTGCTACTTTCTACATTGATCAAAACCATAGTTAACCTTCCATAGAGGCTCAAACCTCCATTTTCTCCTTTCCATGACATTCCATCAAGCCAAGAGTTTGTCATCAAATACCAATGTGCAACAATAAAACCACACTTTGGGTTTCTTTCAACATTTAATCATTTTAAACCATAACAATATGTAAGTGTCCCCCTCATGTCCCAAAATCTTTCATATGGTAAGAAATTCGTCATCAATGAATATATATATATATATAAACATTTGTATACAACAACATTTCTTAACCTCTTGTCCACCATGTCACACTACAATGCATCTATAATTATATATTTGTATATACATATATATATATATATATATAACATCAACATGAGCCCTCCCCCCTTTTCATTCAAGAAACCCCTAATTTCTAGGTTTTCACAAAAAAACCCTAACATTTTCCATCTCTTTTGTAAAACCTCATCACATACCTCAATCTCAACCCATATGGCTCATTGATTTAAGAAAATCTTTAAGAGGAAACAAGGACAAATTTCTTCTACAAAACTAACAATTTCTTGAGCCATTAAACCCATTTTTCGGAATAGACAAAAGTGTGCTCACAAAATCAATCAAAAACTTGCATAAACACATATATAACTCAAAGGAAACCCTACCTCAATGTTTGATGAAGAAATGGAGATGAAACCCTAGCTTTGATGGAAGATTCTTCAATTTTCCCACAACACCAAGAGGAGCCCTAGCTCTAGATCTCCAAAGCTTGAGAGGAAGAGATGATGATGATGATCTAGACCCAAAGGATTGCAAGAATCAAAGAGTTTAAGTGTTTTATGAGGGTTTTCTAGAGAGAAGGGAGAGCAAAATGACCTTTAGAGTGAGAGAAAGAAGCCCCAAAATACGATACAATTCGGCCACAAAGGGGAATAAAAATAGAGATTCGGACTGTCCAATTGGCTGCACGCGCGGCGCCCATCCCCGCACGTGTGGAGTGCCTTTCCCCGCATGTGCAGCCCTCACCCCCGCACGTGCGGTGGTCCTGCCGCACCTCAGTCCTCACTTGCCTTTTAGGCAGTGTGCAACCACTTGAAGTCCAACCCACACTGCACGTGCAGCCTCACTCCCCGCACGTGTGGCCCCACCCCGCATGTGCGGCCCTGGACCAGCAGCCCAGAATTTTCTGGTTCGGTCCCCGGGTACTCCGGACTCAACCGCGCACTCTCCGGAACAAGTAGAAATTAATCACCGAATGACAAGAACAAAGTTTTTGTTTGAGGATTGAACTTTCGGACACTAACCCAATGAGAAATAAAGGAGAACAGAGCGAATAATTATTCTCGGTCATCACAGAACCTTAGAACAATTGACAATTTTACTAATACGGTCCATCAAAGAGGTAGGTGCAAGCACTAGGAAGCCAATTTCCATGTTATGCTGTGGGATTGATCTAGGGGCTTCAAGGAGCTAATCATCTATGGGGAATAAGAGAGTAATGCTAGTGGCTGGAGGACACCAGGGGGATGCTAGATGGGAAAAAGATTACAGCACTTTAATAAACATAAAACAGGTGTCACCATTTCATCAGCTAAAGCCAAAAGTGAAAATATCTATAAATAGCCCCTCTACTGATGCCTTAAAGCAAACACATCTTATCTTTCACTAATTTTGACATATATGGAGGCCTTTCTGTCTCTCAAACTCTCCTTTTCCAGCAATAACATGTACAAAGGTAGAACCGGAAGTGGAAAAGGGATCGTGACCCACTTAAAGCTCTCAAAAGTCCTGCAAATATTTCATTGTTTGCTCCAGAATATCTTAGATTGTAAAGAGTTGGCATCTAGAAAACAGAATACCAAAATGACCAATATAAAAGATTGAACTCAGCATTCAAAACTAGCACAAAAAAATCATAAACCCACTAAAAAAAATCTAGAGTTTAAAAGGATTTATGTCTATTAAACCAAACAAAATTAATCATAAACCTATCAAAATTAATACTAAACCATCAAACATACCAAAATACTCTCACCCATATTAGTTTTAAATCCATTAAAAAAACAAAAAACAAAAGGATACAAAAGAAATTTGTTTACAGAAACAGATTGTTTTAAACAATTTTTTTTTTAAACAGAAATTGTTTCACCAATTTTGAATAGAAATTTCAACATAAATTATGCTATAAATCAACAAATCTGAATTAGGTGTTAATGTCTACACTTCGGCAATATTAGGTCATGCATTAATATGTAATGTCTGTGTTAGACTAAGTGTTTCCGTAATGAGTTTGTCAGATTGTCTGGCTAATATTTGTCTGTCTAACTGTTATGTTTATGTATGTATTGTGTGTTCAGTTCATAGTGTCCAGAATGTATTGTTGTCGGAGACTTATGTCTGTACTATCTATGTATTTTTGTGGAAGACTTATGTGTTTTTTCCTCAAGATTTTCTGAATTACATTATCACCTTCTAACCTGAAACAAAGACAACAGAAAAAAAAAATTATTTAAATGAAAACGGCTTTAGTAAAGCCAAAACAAATTTCTGAATAAAACCTTCTAACCCAAAACAAAGACAAGAGAAAAAAATAAAAAATAAAAAACTTTACTTGAAAACGGCTTTAGTAAAACGAAAAGAAATTTCTGAATTGCATTATCACCTTCTAACCCAAAACAAAGACAAAAGAAAAAATATATATTTTTAAATGAAAACGGTTTTATTAAAGCCCAAACAAATTACTGAATAACACCTTCTAACCCAAAACAAAGAGAAAATAAAATAAAATAAAATAAAAATTTACATCAAAACGGCTTTACTAAAGCTCAAAAAATTTATGAATTACATTATCACCTTCTAACCCAAAACAAACACAAGAAAAAATAAAATAAATTTACTTTAGTAAAGCCAAAAAAAATTCTGAATTACACCTTCTAATCCAAAACAAAGACAAAAGAAAATAAAGAAAAATTAACATGAGAACGGCTTTAGTAAAACAATTCTAACCCAAAAAAATATTCTGACTTACATTATCACCAAAACAATGACAACAGAGAGAGAGAGAGAGAAAAATAAAATAAATAAAATAAAATAAAACATGAACAGTAAAATCGTGGTTATAATCCACGCTTTATTGTGTGAACAGTGAAAGCGTGGTTCACAACCACGATTTCAGAAGAAATTTTTTTTTGGTTAAAAGCGTGGTTCACAACTGCGCTTTCAGAAGAAAAAAAATTTAAGTTAAAAGTGTGGTTCAGAACAGCAATTTCAGAAGAAAAAAAAATTTGATTAAAAGCGCCTTTTATAACCGCGCTTTATTAATTAAAAGTACGTTTTGTAACCACGCTTTTAAGACTTCCTAATTTTCGCGCAGGACAGGTACACAAATGTTGAAAGCGTGGTTGTGAACCACGTTTTAGCCTATTTTGAGAATTTTTTCAAAACTAGGCTTAGTTTAAGAATTGAATTGATAATTTGACTTATTTAGAGAAATAACCCATAGAATTGCCCCAAAAAAAAAAGAAAAAAAAAAAAAGAAAGAAAGAAAAAACAAAAGAGGAAGTGCCAAGTATTTTTATTTAATTTATATCAAATAATGTGACAATATATTCGGTCCTTAAAAATAGTAGACATCACTGTGCTCTGACATCGACTCATTTCTTTGCGCGGATTTTCTTTCTTTCTTTCTTTCTTTCTTTTTTATCTCTGCAGATCAAGAGAACAAAAACCAGAGTAATTGATTCCAATACGCGTAGTGACGATTAATCATACTTCTTCACCCACTACCCAAAACCCCATCTGGGTCGTTGAGTTTTATCTGCAATTTTTCGATTTCCCATTAAAGTCTCTCTTTCTTGATTGTTTTCACTGTTTATCTCTCTCTGTTCCTGAGCAGAGTTTGTTCTGCTTTAATGTCTGTTTAATTGAATTTTTAAAGTTGTGCGTTTGTTGTTGTTGGGTTTCTCTCAAAAGCATGTTATTTGCTTGCCTCCCAAATGAGGGCATCTGTTGAGATTTCTTGATCTGTTTTGTAACACTCATTTATGAACTTGTCTTTTAGTTAATTTTGTTGATATGTGTTACTTGAAAATCGTGACGATGTAAGTGGGCTTTGTATTTGTGAGTCTTTGTTCGGTTCTTTGATAATTTTGATATATATATATATACACACACACATATATATATATATATATATAGAGAGAGAGAGAGAGAGAGAGAGAGAGAGAGAGAGATGATGGGATCTGGAAATGGGTTCTACTCTGTGGGAGAGTTCAATTTAGATCCCAAGTGGTTGGTTGATCCAAAGCTTCTCTTTGTTGGGCCCAAGATTGGAGAAGGTGCTCATGCCAAAGTGTATGAGGGAAAGTAAGTTAATTTTACTTGCAATACTCCTATTTTCTTTGCATTAATTTAGTGATTTTTCCATGAAAAAGGAGAAATGTGAACAAAGAATTTTACTGATATATTTGCTAGTAAATTGTTTTCTAGAATAATTATTGATTTTTTTTTTTTTTCCAAGTATTTAGTAGATAAATTACAAATATCATGAGAACTACATCAAATTGAGCGCTGAACAAATACCAGAAAGACCCCAAACAAAAAAATTATTGATTGGATTAGTAGAAATATTGTATTCAGTTATTAAAAAAGGAAAATTGTGCTTGCAAACTTGCAACACCTTTTATTCTGATAAAAATCTCGGGTGAATGCTGATTAGTAATTCCTTAGTTATTAGATTGAATCACTGGGAAATGTGCTGCTGGTTATGGTGGTTTTTGACTAATTGTTGTTTGTTCATTTGGTGTCCATCAGATATAAGAACCAGAATGTTGCAATTAAAATTATTCATAAAGGGGACACCCCAGAGGAGATTGTGAAGAGGGAAGGTCGGTTTGCAAGAGAGGTTGCAATGCTATCTAGAGTTCAACACAAGAACTTAGTGAAGGTTATTTGTTTTAACATTGTAGCAATTTTCTAAAATTTTGTTAATTTTTTTTCATTTATTGTAAATAGAAATAGGAAGCTAATGTTAGTCGTTATGTGGATGATTTTCAATTTGCAAAAGAGACCATATTGACAATGACTGAGTTTTACTGTATGTCTGTAGTTCATTGGAGCTTGTAGGGAACCTATCATGGTGATTGTAACTGAACTTCTACTGGGTGGAACATTGCGAAAATATTTGCTGAACATGCGGCCAAGGTGCTTAGATATGCATGTTGCAATTGGGTTTGCAGTTGATATTGCTCGTGCAATGGAATGCTTACACTCTCATGGGATTATACACCGTGACCTGAAGCCTGGTACTAGTTATTATCAATATTCTTCATGGGATTGTCAAGTTATTAAATTTGAAAGTATAGCCTTGTTTAGAGTATTTGATATTTTGGTCCTATATTAGACAACACTACTATCAACTGCAGAGCTTCTGCAGTTGGGTTATTTATTCTAAATCCCCATTGCAACCACGTCAGAAGGAAAATTGGAACATAGGAGAAGCAGGAAACTTTTATGGATCCATGTTCTTCTGTTTAAACCTTTATTTCATAATAGAACTTTAAAGCATTCTTCAAAGGTTCACAAACGTGTTCGCCAAATATAGCTATTGCTACTCAAATCTTTTGTGACTTTTGTTGATGTGTTACCCTCAACTTGTGTTGTTGAAGAACTGAGAACTGACACCTAAAAAAATTCTAATGTCCTTGTTTTGAGTATTTGTATGCTCCTTTGATTACATGACTGGATTGATGCTGTGAAGAGAACTTTGCCTTTATGTTTAGCATGAGTTTTATGTGGGATTGTGATTTGTGCAAACCCAATTTGTGGATGGGGCACAACTGCCCATTTTCATATTATTTGATTGTTCCTTGAGACAAACCAGGCTTCCAGAAAGTCTGGAATGATGTCTAGTCAGTCTATATGATTAAAGCATGATATATTCTTCAAGGGATTGGAAATTGTTAAAATTTGTTGATATTCTGATGCCATTGAGATTGAATTGGAAAAAGAACATATGAGAATTTTGGAAAACTAGAGATGCCAATAGCTGATAGCCAAATGAATAATCTTTTTGACAAATCAATAGAATCTACAAACAGTAAGTTCTTTTGGGCTAATACTGACTGGGATGTTCTAGAAAATTTCCCAATTTCTGCTACCATAACACATGTAAATGATTTCACACTTGCTAAAAATTTATGCCTTGTAATAAGCTTTTTTCTTTTTAAATTATTTCCTTTCAGAGATGATTTAAGGAAACTGGTGAAGACTATTTATTTGAAGACCATGAAATAACCAGCAGTAATGAGTGCAATCCTTCAATCTTACAAAACTATTTCGATTAGTGAAGGATGAACTATGCATGTCTTGTGATGTATAGAAGTAGGAATATTTGATAGGCATTAGAGTGCTGATGCTGTGATCAGAGACTTTCTTTCTGTACAGTTATATCAGATTTACGGTCATGAAATGGCTTGCCTTGTTTCTTTTGATTCTTGACACCTATTTTGTCCCCGGGTTATTTTGTTTTGCTTTGCAACATATTTTTATACGGATTTACTCATCGTTGGTTTAGTGAACGAGTGCAAAATGAATGGATGACCTTGTGGAAAAATATATTGATAGTCACTGACAACTAATGGTGGAGACGCCACTACAGTTTAACATTTCATACGATGTCCGACTATGCCATGTTGTGCAGCATTTTGTCTATAGACAGATACAAGCCTTTTATGCTTTTCTTTGATGAATGGCCAAATTTATAAATAACTGAGCCTAGAATGCTGTTTTCTTTATAGTAACTTGTAGCAACCTAATAGATACAATGTGCCATAATATTCGTTGAATTTTATTTTCACATTTTTCTCTCTCTAGGTTCCCTTGCCTGTTTTTGGGATCCACCTGTAACAAAGATGGTGATTTGTCTTTGATGTTATTGTTTTCCAGATAACTTACTCTTGACAGCAGATCACAAAACTGTTAAACTTGCGGATTTTGGTTTGGCAAGAGAAGAGTCATTAACAGAGATGATGACTGCTGAAACCGGAACTTATCGTTGGATGGCTCCCGAGGTACAATATTGAATGGTGCAGAGCTGCCTTCTTTTTTTTCTTGCCCTTCTTTTCCCTCTCTCATTTTTAGTTTTTATTTTTTATTTTTTATTGCAGCTTTACAGCACGGTTACTTTGAGGCATGGAGAGAAGAAGCATTATAATCACAAGGTGGATGCCTATAGCTTTGCAATTGTTTTGTGGGAGCTCATTCATAATAAGTTACCCTTTGAAGGCATGTCAAATCTACAGGCAGCCTATGCTGCTGCTTTCAAAGTAAGTATTCTCTTCCTCGTCCTTCACTTTTGTTTTGTTTTGTTTTTTTTTTTTATGTTTTTAATTTGCAGTTGTATTGCTTTACATTGTCAAAGTCGTCACCATTTTCTGCAGCGTGGGTGAATGGTTTAAGGAGATTTCATTCTTCCATGATGTTGATCAAATAATGACATTCAGACAAAATACACATTAGTGAACAATTTTCGCTCAAATGTTTGTTTTAAACTAATTTGATGATCAACGGCGGCGAGCTTGTTTGGTTGGGGTTCTGAACAGTTGGTCAGCCATGACTTGATATTTTGCTTTTGTTGTTTCAGAATGTGAGGCCTAGTGCCGATGACCTCCCAGAAGATCTGGCTTTAATCGTGACTTCATGTTGGAAAGAGGACCCAAATGCTCGGCCCAACTTCAGCCAAATTATACAAATGCTTCTAAACTATCTCTCTGCGATTTCACCACCAGAGCCTGCTGTCCCACCTCGGATTTTCGCTTCTGAGAATGCTGTGTTGCCACCGGAGTCACCTGGTACGAGTTCATTGATGCCTGTTAGAGATGACTCTGCGGAAACAACCCCAATGGAAAACGAGCCACAAGGTTTCTTCTTCTGCTTCCGCCAGTGCTACTGATCCCCAAAGGGCCACAATTACTCCACGGAATAGCAAAATGAAGTTTGAGGAAGAATAGCCTCAGCTGCCATAGGATGCCTTTTATTTGATGATATTTTTGCTGAAGTTGCATACCAATAATTGATATTGACTTTGATATATGTTCTGACTGAGATACAAAAATAAGAAAGAAAAAAAAGAAGTTATTTTGGAGTTGGGGTTGCTGTGATGTATTATAGTTGTAAAATTAGGTCCATCCAAAGGCCTTTGACTCCATTTTTAGTGTAAGAATCTCCATGACTAATGACATTCAGGTGCTATTTCTCTTGTTATTCCTTGAACTTTGAAACCCTAATGAATTAAGGTGTTAAAAATACTGTTTAGGGTCTGAGCTCTGTTGGTCTTGGTGAGAATGGGAAAGAGAATTTCAGCACCAAATGATATTGAGTGCTAATCACAACGTTAGTCACAAAACTGTGATAGAACTTGGAACAGAGGTCCCTGCTGTGGTGCCTCTGTTTGAGGTGTATTATGGTCTTATTTTTATGATCTAAACTGTTATATTGTAGGGTTTGTTAAGTACTTCATGCTTATCAAAAATCATATTAATCGGATATCAATAACTATATGATCGAATCGCATATTGTTTATGCTATTTCTCAAAAGAAAAACTTATTATTTATTTTTTTGGTTATCGATCATATAGTTGTTGATATCCGATTAATATGATTTTTGGTAGGCATGGAGTACTCAACAAACTCTACAAAATAAATGGTTTGGATCATAAAAATAAGGTCATAATACACCTCAAAGGCACAACAGTCACTGCTGTGCTAAAAAACACAGCAGTGACCCCTTTTCCGATAGAATTGTACATTTCGATTTCTAAATTTTTTCAAATCAAAATAATATATTTAAATTTTGGGCAAATTACAAAAAAAATTTCAAGGTTTTGCGTGTTTTTTAATTTAAATCCCAGGGTTTTAATTTTGATAAATTAAACCCTTAAATTTCTTCCGTGTTTTAATGTGAACCTTCCTTTCATATCCGTTTGATTGAATTAACGGAATCTGGGTAAAATTTTCAAATTCAAATACACATGTTCAAACACTTGTATATTTCTTGCCGTAATTTCATTTCGCCTATTTTTGTGTCGTTTGATTCATCTCATGGCATAGTTTTCATTCCATCTCTCATAAACCTTGTTTTGCTTCTTTTTGCATGCAGTTGGAACTCCAAAAGTTGGCCAAATATATGAGTTTTATCTCTTTAGACAAAATTTTTAGATTCAAACACATGTTTAAGCATTTATATCTCTTTCGTCATAATTCTGTTTTGTCTAATTTTTACGTCGTTAAATTCACCTCATGGCCTAGTTTTCGTTCCACCTTTTATAAGCCTTGTTCTACCTCTTTTTGTACAGAGCTCCGAAAGTTGGCCAAAAATAAGATTTTTTTTCTCTTTGGGGCAACATTTTCATATTCAAACCCATATGTTCAAGCACTTTTATCTTTCTTATTGTAACTTTGCTTCGCCTCATTTTTGCATTTTTAGATTCATCTCATGGCTTAATTTTCATTTTATCCCTCATATGCCTTATGCCACCTCTTTTTGCATGCCATCAAAGCTCCAAAAGTTGGCCAAAAATAAAATTATTCTCTCTCTCTCTCTCTCTCTTCTTTTTTCCCTCTATGTTCTATCTCTATACTTCTTCCTTTTTACTTCTTTTTCACAATTATTCTCTTTTTTCCTTTTCCTTCATGGTCCTTTTACCGAGTTCGTGGTGGTCATTGAACCTCTAACAGTAGCGGTGTCGTTGAGTATAAATGTATATGACTTACAAGAACGGAAAGAAACATATGAGTATTTGAATATGTACGTTTGAATTTGAAAATTTTGTCCAAAAAAAGAAAATTCTTATTTTTGGCCAACTTACATAATTCCAACAGCAAGCAAAAAGAGGTGGAATAAGGCATATGAGGGGTGTAATGAAAATTAGGCCATGAGGTGAATCTAATGACACAAAAATGAGGCGAAACAAAATTATGACAAGAAAGATACAAGTGTTTGAATATGAAAATGTTACCCAGATTCCATTAGTTCAATCAAACAGATATGGACGAAGGGTTCACATTAAAACACAGAAGAAATTCCAAATTTAATTTGTCAAAATTAAAATTTTAGAATTTAAATTGAAAAACACGCGAAACACGCGAAACCTTGAATTTTTTTTTTTTTTTTTTTTGTAATTTGCCCTTCAATCTTTTTTATATTATGATTTTGGAATGTAAAAGGTGAAATGATTAGTGTCATACATTTTCTAATAAAAAATAAATTGTGAGGCATTTATAGTTCTACTTTCATCATCTTTTTCATTTTATTTTTTTGTGGTTGATGAGTTTTTTTTTTATTATTTTTTTAAAGATCGGGAAGAAAATATTTATTGCAATAATGAATTGGATTTTTAGGCCTCGTTTGGGAATCCTCTCATTTAGTTAAAAAGTCAAAAAGTTACTAAAAAAGTCAAAAAACTAATAATCCATACCAAAAAGTCAAAGATTCTCTTTTCTCTCTACTTGTTGCACATTTTTTTGTAAAAAATCAAAAAGTCATCCCAAACATACTAGTTTTTTTAACTCATATTTTAATAAAATAGTTAAAAAATTACTAAATTAGTCTATTCTCAAACGAGGCCTTACAACCCTAATTAAACACTTTGGATCGGTGAAAATAAAAAAAATATAACCTCTTTCATTTATTTGTGAGGTGTTTATAGATCAATTTTCATCATTTATTTCATTTATTTTTATCGTCCGCGTGACAAGCAAAAATCCTCACCGCTATACTACAATGACTTTTGTGTCAATTTTTTTGAATTTTAATTATATGGCTGAAAATTTTCTCATACTTTTGATATGTGAATGAATGTACTCTCTAAATAAAATATTTTGTTGGTTAAATAAAAAATGACGGCTTGGTTTGGGAAGTAGGTTGATTTTTTGGCTTTTTGGCTTTTTTGGCTATTTTAGCCTGGGCTAAAAAGCTTGGTTTGGAAAGGGTTTTTTGGCTTTTTGGCTTTTTTGACTTTTTTTGTGAGAGAAGAATGTAATGATTATAGGTTAGATGTGATGTTTTGTTTGTTATGGCTAAAATAGCCTATTTTATTTTTTGTGGCTAAAATAGCCAAAAAAGATACAATGACTTTTGTGTCAATTTTTTTGAATTTTAATTATACCTCTGAAAATTTTCTCATACTTTTGATATGTGAATGAATGTACTCTCTAAATAAAATATTTTATTGGTTAAAAAAAAAATGACATAATTTCTACATCATTTTATATGATCTTATTTCAAGTAATTATCCTATTTTTTTAAGATTTTACGATGGTAGTGTGTTAAATCAATAACAGGGAGTCTAACAATTATATGAACTTCAAAATAAGAAAATAATGGACAAATAACAATACACTATTGGACATATATATATATATATATAGTCACGTAGTCTTCCTAACCTCCCTAACCTGTGTAATAATTTTTGAATTTCATTGTCCTTTTTTCACATGAGTAAAGGCACCATGAATTTATCAATTTTTAATAAAAAAATGTAAACAATTATAAGAATGATAAGCTTTTTAATTATTTTTTATCAATTAAATTTTGAATATTTTGAAAAATATATTTGTTGTTTGTATGTGAAGGCCGGTTCTAGAGATTACTCTTAGGTGATTGTTACATTGTAGGGTCATTCAATTATATAACTGTAAGTCACAGACTCATATATGACATAGGTAGTGTTTGACAACTTAGTTTTTAGGTTTTTATTTTTTTATTTTTTTCACTACAAGACAAATGTTTTACAAAATTAAAAAAAATCAATCCAAACAAAATATCACACATCAAACCCCATAATCATTTTACTTTTTCTCTCACAAACATCACATCCAACTACAAAAAAACTCAACTATGTTCCCAAACAAAATTTTTTTTCTCCAATAATATCCTATAACTAAAAAAATTACAAAAAAATCCACTTTCTAAACACCCACATATATAATAGAAGATTCGAATCCTAACTCTTAACACTAGGGCCAAGTTTGGGCAGATAAGAAAAAATCAAAAAGTCAAAAAGTTACTCAAAAAGTAAAAAAGTTAACACTATTCACCAAAAGTCAACAATTACGGCTGCACGATTTTCAATCATAATTTTCCCCTACAAATCAATTTTTACAATTTTTTAATACACATTTTTTCATAAAAAGTCAAAAAATTAACCCAAATATCCATATTTTTTTTTCTCAATTTTTTAATCTAAAAAAATAAAAAATACACTTACTATTTAGAATATCCCAAATAATCCTTAGGTACAATTCACCTCAATTTAAAAAATTCATGTTACTGTTATCTGAATGACAAATAAAAACTATAACCTTAGGGTTTATGTCGGAAATGTTACCACAGTGTCACATCCTTGACTGTTGTGTGTGTATTTACCAATTAGTCACATTGTTGGGGGGCACAATCGCAAAGTGTTTAGGGGGTGGCTGTCGTGGCACTCTACAAACGTATAAGCTTGGGGCGGAAGGCAAATGGTGACCCCACCAATTTACAACCCTGCCATTCCTGCACGATTTTCGAAGAAACATATAAACTCCATCCTACTGTCTCTCCTCCCTAGTGCTTAACAACAAACTTAACAACGTTCGGAGCTAGCTTCAGTCAACGCTGGGCCACACCAGACCTCTGGTTCGGCCCATCGGACAACGAAGATGCCTGTCCGAAGCTCAGGCTCCGTGTACAAACCTCTCACAAACAAACTATCCCACAGCTGCGTTTTCCCGCTCTCTCTCTCTCTTTCACACACACACACACACACACACACACACACTATCGCTTAACTTAGCCCAGTAGATAAAGGGAAAGTGTCGAGCACACACAACGCTTCTTCCACTTCTCTCTCTTTCTAGCTATGTGTTGATTGTCCCTCTCTCTCTTTCTCTCTGTATCGACGACTCGCTCTTGTTAGACATGGCAAGGTAAAAAAAAACAAGAAAAGCAAGAAAACATGTTTTTGTTTTGTGAAATCAAATAAAACTAGGTTTTCCTTGGCGTATGTTGTCACCTGGATGCTGGCGATACAAACCAAATTTTGATTTTTGAGCTTAATTTTAATCGCAGTTTGTGAGACCTCTGTTTTTTCATCGTTTTGGGTTTTGATTGAGGAACCCATATGAACAAATAGCTATTGTGTTTTCTTTGTCTGAGACCCCAATCCATTAGATCACATATTTTCCCCCTCATCCGAGTTTGCATAAAATTGATCGACCATATATTTAGATTATTTTAGCATAACGGTATAGATTTCAATATTTGCTTTCTCGGGTTTGGTTGTCAAAAAATTAAAGGGTGTTTTTTGTTATTTTAAAAAAAAATTCCTTTAGGGGGTATTTTAATTAGGAAACTTTTTACATGTTACGGTATTTTAGGAAATACCCACGTGTACTAGGAGGGTTCTGTCTATTCTTTTCTTTATTTGGGATTTACCTATTTGGATATTTTGAGAAATGCTGACAAAGAGAATCCTATCCAGTATTGGTTGATCCGCATTGATAGATATGTAGATTTTGAGTCATTTAAAGCTTGTATTTTTGGAGTTGTGGGCATAACTGAGGCACCCACTGCCCAGGATTTTTCTTCAGTGGTAGAGGATTGAACTCATCATGATTGTAGTTTGGTGGTGCTTGAACTTTAGTTATTACTGCACCATGCCTGGTTGGAGCAAAATCATGAACTCTGTTCCTGGGCATTTTGTGGCATTTATAATGACGATTGGAAGTGTCATTGATGACTGGATGGAAGTGGGTTCAATGCAATTGATAGTTATTTGAGTTGGTTCATCAAGCATCTCATTGCCTTAAGCTTAGTGAGGGTCTTGATTTAACAACAGTGTTCTTGATCCAATATTTAGAACATTTGACAGGATGGCTTCTTTGATAGGTGGAAAGGGGTTCCAGATCTTTCTTGGGTTTATGTGATATTTATGTTAAACCATTGATAATTGTTTGAGTTGGTTGATTAGCTAGTAGTTTGATTTTATAACGACATAGTTGATCAAATCTTGAAACATTCTATAGGGTGTCATCTTGGACAGGTGAACAGAGGTTCAAGAACTGCATTTAGTTTTGCAGAAACCCGTTTATACCGTTTAGTTATAGCTAATGATGTCTAGTGCATGTAATTCAATGCACGAGGCTTCCACTTACCTGGGGAGAGCGCAAATGAGGATCCTTATTTGCCCCTTTGTTCAAGTTTGGGGGTTCCCCTGATGTTGTTTACATGTCCAGACATTTTTTTCCCTGCTGTTGATTATATATGCAGATAACCTCCTAAGCTAATTCCTTCATTCTTCTTTAGCTAGAAGTTGTTTTATGATTAATTTTAACGTTTTAGCATTTTGATGATGCAGGAATTGGCTTATTGACTGTAAAGGAATTGCAACAAAAGTGAAAAATGCCAATCTATCTCCTGCATTTCAAATCAAAGACTCTGGCGCAAATCGTGAATGCCCAAAATGCCATTACCGCATTGATAATAGTGATGTAAGCTGGCACTCTTGCATGCTCTTAAATAATTAGCTACATAATTTTATCAGCAAAATTACTAAATGTTTGCGGACTAGCCACTAACATTACTCTATACTTCACATGATACTAATGGAAGGCTAGAAGCACCTGTAAATTTCTTATTGTCTTTCAAGTAATGCTCTTAGATTGGCGGTGTCTGTTAACCATGATGCATTAAGTGCGACAGAAATTTAATTGGGATTTATCTTAGTCTTAGATTTACTTGACACTGACCTTTCATTGTCTTTGATGATGCCTTTCTTTGTATAGGTGTCCCATGAATGGCCTGGATTTCCTGCTGGTGTGAAGTTTGATCCATCTGACGTAGAGATCTTAGAACATTTAGCTGCAAAATGTGGAGTAGGAAATTCAAAACCGCATATGTTTATTGATGAATTCATCCCAACAGTTGACAAAGAAGGAGGAATATGCTATACCCATCCAGAAAATCTTCCAGGTAATGAACTCCAAGTTCTCAGATTATATGTTATATTTCGCTATTCCATGGGTTGAACTAAAAAAGAATTGATTTGTTTGTTGGTGTAATTCATGTTGTTTGTTTTGATATAAGTTTTGGATTTTGAACCAGTGTCAGTAAGCTTGATGTGACTCTGGATTGTGGGTGAATCAAACCATTTTTTGAATTGCTACTTGTTTAATTTTTAGGTGTGAAAATAGATGGAAGTAGTGTCCACTTCTTTCATAGAACTATCAATGCATATGCTACCGGTCGACGGAAGCGGCGCAGGATTCAGAATCAACATATCCGCTGGCACAAGACAGGCAAGACCAAGCCTGTGATGGAAAATGGAGTGCAGAAGGGCTGCAAGAAGATCATGGTTCTTTATAAAACTTCAAAGAGAGGTTCCAAGCCTGATAAGTCTAACTGGGTGATGCACCAATATCATCTGGGGACTGATGAAGATGAAATAGAAGGACAATTTGTGGTTTCGAAAATTTTTTCTCAGCCGCAGAAGCAAATTGACAATAGTGTTAAATCTCATGTTGTCGAAGATTTTGATATGGGAACAATTCAAACTAGTCCACGGACTCCGAAGACAAATACTCCCAATCCACCTCGGCCAGGAAAATCTTTTTCATGTGATGATATGATAGATGATTATGCACCCCAGTCATCAGCACAACAGGTTAGTAGCAGCTTCTACTGCACATTGTTGTTTCAGAACCTGAACATGTTACTAGATTCTTCATATGATCAGCCTAGGTGTTTTAGAATGACTCATAGTAGACTCTCTAAAGACCATTGCCCAGTTTTCCTTTCAGCATTGAAGGTTGCTGGGAGGGATGAATTTGAATACAAACTTCATGTTTTCCATTATCTACATATGCAGTATACTTACCCATCAAAAACTGAAATGCTGTGAACACTTTGTGGAAATGACATTTACATACCCATGTTTGGAACCTGTTTGAATGCTTACACAAGATTAAGGGAGTCCATCTTTACCACTTTCTTCACTATCTACATAGAGAATCCAACACTGATTAATGATAGGTTATCATGTACGGCCATGGTCTTGTGTTTAGACTTCAAAAAACTTACTCCTCTTAACACCATGTGTTTGTGTTGAAAACGTGTTACTCTTGTATGTTTCCACAGATCATAGATCATCATTTGCATTTTAGGCATTTGTCTAGTAAAAAAAAGAAGAAGATTAAAATGAAGTCACTGTCCACAAGCAATGCAATGAGAAGTTGACTGATGTTGGCATCTCCAGTGATGATATGATGACATTTTTTTATGAATTTCTTGGTGGATGTTCCTGAATATAAGTTGTCATAAACAAAAATATCTATTATGTTTCTGCCAAAAAGTTACTCCAACATGTAGGATTGTGTTAGTTCCTTGTATTTTCCTTGTCTTCTTTGTGTTAACATCATTAATTTTTAACATTATCAATTTGTTGTGTGGACTAGGAAGCAGAGTTTGCCACAGAAACATCTCATCCTTCTTCCTCTACGCCTCACTTCAAGGACGAATTGGAGACTCAGACTTGGTTGGCAGGTGAATCACAAGCTCTCGATGGGAATGGTGTGGATGACTCATTGTTATGCAATGAGATTTTCAGTTCCTATTCTGCTCTTTCAGGACTAAATCATGGTCCGTTCAGTGACGTTGCTCGCTTCACTAATGATGTTCCTGTGGGAGATAGAAATCCATCTTGTGGAATTGCTGATCTTGAGAACCTAGACCTGGGTACCCCGCCTGATTTCCAGCTTGCAGTAAGTTTCTTCTCCTTATCCTCTTCAATCATTTTATTTGTTTAAGTGAATTATCATTTACAATTTCTTGTCTACTTTTGCAGGATTTGCAGTTTGGCTCTCAAGAAAGCATTCTTGGTTGGTTAGACCATTTGTCAAGCAATGAGTGATGAAACTAGTTTTCCAATACTTGGCAATGAAATCCCAATTTTACACCATCCCTGAGGAAAAAAGAACTTTCATTGTTTTGATAAGGTTGTGATTCAATGGTGAAATGCTGTCGAATTGAGAGACATCTGATGCTTTCTGCTAGTTAGTTTTTTCCTAGAAGCTGTGAAGGCAAGTCAGGTCATGGAGTTATTTGCTGTGTGCTACCATAAATCACCGTTGGGAAGCTGGTTCGGTGATCAAGCAGAAATGACACAAATTTTGGTTTTTGAGTTTCAGATGCCTAATCCTTGCGATTCCTCAACCACCCCCCCCACAAAAAAAAAAAAAAAAAAGAAGAAAAAAGAAAAAGAAAAGAAAATGTTGATTGCTACTTATTCTGTTGTTTATGATATGGATTAATACATGAACATATGTGATTTGGTTTGAACACAAACACTGTCATTTGTATTAAATGGATCACGTATTGTTGTTGTCTTCATCACTTGCTGTTAATTTCATGCATCTTGATGCACTTTTCTTAGAATTTGCTTATGCAGTATACTGTTATTCCACTTGGAAGGGTCAAAGGAACTCGCTGTTAATTTCTGACACAGTATGTATAACCTCCTTAGGAGGGGTTGATTAAAACCTGCACTTTCTTTGTGGTTATAGAAGAACAGCTAATATGGGCAGCATAGGTGCTCGAAAATTGAAACATCAAAGATCATGAAATCCTCGTAGTTCTGTATGTTCAAGGCCGGATGTTTTATATGAGATGGTTGAAAAATATTGTGTAGCATTAGATGCAGGGGTGGAGCCAATGAAAGTCCCGGGGGGTCACCTGCCCTCCTCAATTTTAAATTTTTTGTTTGTTTTTATTTTTTTGTTGAGAGGGTAATTTATGTGAAAATTGGGCTGAGCTACGTACAACTATTGAAAAGGACCGAGCTAGGTGCAATTTCTTGGATGTTGTGTTGTACTACGAGCCAAGGTAAAGAAGTTTGGTCCTTTAGCCCGACAGTTCGGTCAGAGGCAGGCTACTAGTAGCCTAGTCTGGCCGTCCTGAGCTGAGGTATTGTTGGAAGGAGGACCGAGGTATATGATAGCTCTGCAGGACGTCGTCTAAACAGTAAAGACTTGCAGAGTAACCTGCAGTAGCGTCGAGCTATGTGAGCATGGTTAGGTCTAGCGTAGGGCGCGACCATGCTAGCTCGGTTGAGCTGTTACTAAACCGAGGTAAGGAGGTTTAAGTCATCTCACTTGGCTAGCAGTGAGTAGGGTGTTATCAGGATGAGCATTATCCTTGAGAGCGTGATTCTTAGGAGGATTCTTATAAGGAGAGTTAGAGTCCTACTAGGATTGTGCTAGGCAGAATTTATAAAAGTTCATGACATAACCTATGTACAAGTATCACAATTTTTACTCTCAAATACACAGAGCTTTTGTGCCTATTGTCTATTTGCTGACTTAGGCATCGGAGAGGTTTTCAGCACACACTCTCCGGCTAGCTCACGCTTGCGTTTTCAAGTAGTAAAGCGACGACGTTTGGAGGAGTGCAAACTTAATCAATAGGATTATACGAGAAGATTATTTCGTGTTCGTACAATTGGTGTCGTCTGTGAAAAAGACAATCACAAAGAACAAAACCTTTTGATCGAGTTTTCCTTTTTAGTTGAAATCAATGGCGCACAATGAAGATTTGCCACAATCTGCTACTGATGGGCAAACCTCGGAGGGGGATGGGAGACGTGAAGGCTTACTTGTTATCCCGCCCATGGCAGAGTTAGACGCCCACCGACAGAACTCCCGAAGGGATACACGGGAGAGACGGCGCTCTAGTCCTCGTTGCTCTCAAAGTCTTGAAAGGCAGAGGAGGAGGTTGAATCCTCAGGTTCTGGAGGATCGCGTGAGGAAGCAAGGCGAATTGATAAGGAGGATGGCGGCAGACATGGAGACTATGAAGCGCTAGATAAAAGGCAAAGAGGCGGCGGAAGAAGAGGTGGGCAAGAATAGGGCGCATGTAGAAGATCGTGACAAGCAAATCACACCGTCCCAGAAGGAAAGTAAAAGCCTAAGGACAGGCGATACACAATCACGAACCTTTAGGACTCGTTACTCCAGGTCTGAGAGAACGAGGACTGAGAGGTCGTATACGGAGGGAAGCAGTTATCGACCCTTGCACACGCACCAAACGACATCTAAGCACACGGAGTTACCTAGGTCAGCAGACCTGCGAATAGTGTTACAGGAGAGGGCCCGATGGAAGGAGGACACCAGGGCTCGTGACCCTCGTAGAGTTTCAGCTCTACAGCGATTGGCCCCTAAGACACGTGGAAGTGTCGAGGTAGGGATGCCAATGCCACGCCTTACTTACGAACCAGCAGATGAAGTGTTAGCAAGGTTACAAAGCTCACTGTTCATTTCCGCAATTGAGAATGCATCGCTACCCTCAGGCTTCCACCAGTCCAAATTCACTACTTATGAGGGAAAGTCAGATCCCTACATGCACTTAAGCCACTTTCGCCATGTTATAGCCGTGTATCGACGAAACGAGGCCCTAATGTGTATCTTTTCCTTCTAGCCTTGGTGACCTGGGTTTAACATGGTTTGAAAGATTGCCAGAAGGTAGCATAGCTTCATGGGTGCAGTTGGCAGAGGCATTTGTGACCAGATTCATAACAAACACCAAGACACCAGTGGAGATTGACCAGCTACTCTCCATTGACATAGGCGAGAAGGAAACATTGAGGTCTTACAACAGTCGGTATTGGGGGACTTTTAATCAGATTGGGAATTGCCCTGCAAACCTTGCCATCGCACAGTACAAACAGGGTTTACCGGCCGGTAACAAGTTGAGGGATTCAATGATGATGATGCCACCCCTCATGATGGACGCCCTAATGGAGAGAGTGCATCAACACATCCGGATAGAAGAAGATAGTGCCCGTGCTAAAGCAAAAACTGGCACAATAGCAATGCCCGATAGAAAGATCGCAGCAAAAGTCAACATAGTTGAACAACCAAGCAAAAATGGGCGAGGCAGATGAGCCAACATAGAGGACCCCCAAGCAAGGAAGTTGAGAGTCCACACTACCATCACCACAGTATTCAATAAACCAATCTATTGGATTCTTAGTGAGATACACGATGAACCCTTCGTTCGGTGGCCAGCCAAGTTGGGAGAGACGCAAAAGGGGTTACGATGAGAGGTACCGTTGCACCTTCCATGATGAAAAGGGGCACCGAACTGAAAACTGAACGCCATTACGACAACATCTGGAGGAGCTAGTGGCCGCAGGCCACTTGAACCAGTATATTGAAGGGGGAACATAGCCACCCCCCAGGATCGCAATAGGCCGGATGAGATGCCGGTCGACGGCCTTCCCCAAGGCATAATCAATGTAATGCATGAGATCATTGAACTTGAGCGGTATGTGAACTCAGAGGGATGATCAAAAAGGCTAAGCACATGAGGGAGGTACTAAGTGCACAACCTACAGTCAAAAGGGGAAAAACGGAGGCAACAAACGTCATCTCCTTTTCTGACAAGGACTTAGCAAGGTTACAATTCCCTCACAATGATGCACTGGTGGTTACTTTGTGCGTCAAGAACTTTGACATCAAACGGGTCCTAATCGACCAAGGGAGCTTCTGTGAAATAATGTACTACGAGACCTTCAAGCAACTAAAATTGGAAAACGGAGACTTGACACCCGCAACATCTCCCTTAGTCGGCTTCAACTCAATGCCAGAATGGCTGGTGGGCAAGATAATTCTACCAGTTAAGGCAGGAACGATGACGAAGTAGGTGGAGTTTTGGGTATTGAAAGCCCCTTCCACTTACAACATAATCTTGGGAAGAGCATGGTTGCATGCCATGCGATCAGTGGCATCAACCTACCATCAGGTGTTATGGATGCCCAACGAAACCGGAGTGATTGAAGAGGTCTTAGGAGACCAAATCATGTCGAAACAGTGCTTTGTCACAGTAAACGACATCTGGGCTGCAAAAGGGTTTGTACAAATAGTAGAAGAGCCAGAAAGCAACGAGCTGTTTGCAGACATCGGCACAGAAAGCGGTAGAAGACTTGGTAAAGGTAAGACTAGATGAAAAGAACCCAAAAAAGTTCTTTTTGCTCGGCTCGTCTCTGTCCAGCACCGAGAGAATAGAGATCATGAAAATTTTGACCTTTAACATCGAAGTGCTCGCCTGGACACCGTATGACATGCCTGGAATTGACCCTAACTTCATCTGCCATCAACTTAATGTCCACCCAACTGTCAGACCAATGATACAGCGAACTCGCTATCGACACTCCACCACACAGAGATAGTGGCGCAGGAAGTGGGAAACCTACTGGAGGCAGGAGCAATCAGAGAAGTACACTATCCTAGGTGGATTTCCAACACTGTAGTGGTACTGAAAAAGAACGGAAAATGGCATGTTTGCGTGGACTACAAAACAGTCAACAAAGCATGCCCAAAGGACAACTTCCCTCTACCACGAATAGACCAACTGGTGGACCTATCACCAGGGCATAACCGACTTAGTTTTCTCGATGCGTATTGCGGTTACCATCAGATCACTATGTATGAACCGGATCAGGAGGTCACGTCATTTACAACACCCAGAGGACTATGCTGTTACAAGGTCATGTCTTTTGGCCTAAAGAACGTAGGGGCTACATTCCGACTGATAGTCACCAAAATGTTTGAACCATTGTTAGGCAGAACAATGGAGGCTTACATAGATGCCATGGTGGTTAAAAGTAGAGATGAGAAGGACTATCTCAGGGACCTAGATGAAATGTTTCAATTTTTGAAGTCCCACAAGTTGCATCTGAACGCATCTAAGTGCACATTCGACGTAGGGTCAGGCAAATTCCTGGGCTTTCTAGTTACTAACCGGGGTATAGAAGCTGATCCCTCTCAGATTAAAGCCATCTAAGATCTCTGTCACAACCCAAACTTGCCCCTATAGGTTTAGCGTCGTAACCGGCCAGTAATCCGTGATTACCGAAGGCCTGTTTAACAATACTGACAATAATACAATATAACGGTGTTGGCGGAAGCCAATCAATGATAACATGCATCATCCAATGAGCTGTGAGGACCTGAATGGAGATGTACTTTCATGTACATAGCCATATTCATAACCATTTATGCCCATAAGTATATATATACAAGACAAAACATAAGCTAGGGAATAAGAATGGCAACAGGGCAGGGTGGGGCTGGGGACTACACTCCCCGTCCCCGATCCCCGAAGGTGATAAATTCCCCGTCCCCATCCCTGATCCCCGACGGGGAGCCCATCGCCCTCCCCGTCCCCACCTTTGCCCCTTAACGGGGATCGGGTATCCCCGAACCCGAAAAATCCCCGAATTACAGTAGCATATCAGATTAAATTTTTTTTTTGATTCAAAGGAAGGATTACTCACTTAGTTATAGTAATTCATTCAGAATCATTACACCAAAGCAAGTTGATTAGCCAATGTT